CGCTTTATTCTAGGTATCCCCATGAGAGGGCTCTTACTTCTTTGAAAATGAAACCCTAAATCCTCTATGCAGGTGTGGTCCTGTGCGCCTAGCGCCAGACCCCGACGCCGAACGAGCAGCACTTGTTGCTGCCGTGCAGGACCGAAAAAGTTTGGGGTTTTAAGCTTATATAGGGCTGCACAGGATCTAGGGTTCATGAGGGGCATAGGGTTTAGGTGGGGGAAGAACAAGACGCTGCCAAGAAGGCCCTCGAAGGGGCCCAGTTGCCCAAGACACAAAACAAAGCCAAAAGGACTTACAGTGGACCAGTGGACTAGGTAAACCCCATGCCTGGTCGAGGGATTTTGCAGTTCAGAATTTCAGGGTTCAAGGAATTTTGACTTATAGCTCGAGATATGAGGGGTTTCTGTGGGTTTTTCTCTGAGTGCTTCCCACCGCGAGGGGCCTTGAAGCCTCCTACGTATGTCGTTAGGCAAAGTACTTGTCGCACAAAGTGTCTAGGGTTCAGGGGGCCTGGGGTCACGGTAGAGGATCTTAGGCGTTGTGGTCGAAGGCTTTTTGATTGGGCAGGTGATGGGACAGCTTCTCAGATCGTCAGAAGCCCAAACCCTAAACCCCTAAGCCCCAAACCCTATACACCCTAAAGCCCTAAACACAACACCCTAAACCCCTTAACCCTAAACCCTGAACACCCTAAACCCCTAAACCCAGAGGTATCCCGGAACCCTCTCGGCTGGGGCCTGCCAGGTCACCAGCCAACCTAGCAGCCTGACAAAATGGTGTGCGGAATCCGCAGCAGTCTTAAGGTCCAAGCTTGACTAGGTTGCTAGTAACAAGGGTTTCGGGGTTTAGGGCTTTAGGGTTTAGGGGACAGTTGCTGTAAAGTGTATATATTCCAAACCACAATCTAACTGAATGCCCCAAACCTTCAAAGTCGTAATAGGCTCCCAGAGTACACAGGAGCAGCTGCAGCAAAACCTGGAACTCCAGTCGTCGACAAGCTCGGAGCTCTGAAAACAGATTGGGGGAACTTTAGGGTTTCGTAATAAGGTTTAGGGTTCAGGGCTTAGGAACAAAAATAACAACAATAACAATAATAACAAGAACAACAATAATAACAACAATAATAATAACAATAGATATTATAACAACAAGTATAGGGCTTACGGGGAGTTGGGTGAGGGGCTGCTTTTTGGGGGAAATCCTTCGAGTAAGGATTATGAGAGGTTTGGGTGTACAGAAGGGGCTCCCTTTTTGGGAAACGTTTCTATCTGGGTGCTTTGAGTGAAGGGTTTTCGGGGCTCCTTATTAATAGGATACTAAGTTTCTTGGTGTTTCAGGTTCAAGGTTTTGGGGGCATTCAAGGTGAAGTTCCTTTTGCGCCTTGTTGGATGATATTTGCGTGTATCCCTGTTCCAATGAACATAATGAACGCCGGTATTCCTAGCGCCTTAGCGTTGATTGCGCTCAGGGCTGAGTGTTGTATGGGCTGAGGGAAGAGAACTTGTGCCAGATACGTGGGCAAGCATGATCAAGGGTTTGGGTTTAGAGATTTCATGTTAGATCTTAGTGTCCAGAACTATTGACAGTGACACCTTGTTGCCAGATCAGATCAAGATGCGTCCTTGTAAAGGCTATTTCGTCATAAACGAGTCAGAATTCTACGGTATTACATGACAAGATAATCCATCATTTGATATTTACTGCGATTAGATTTCTTTGAGATCCATTAGCTATGGCGTCTCCAAATAAAGAGATCGTATGATAGAGAAGAGAAAAGTTAAGGGATATTGCAGGGAGTACCTAAATCTTAATTTTCATACAATTCGAAATATATAAATTTACGAATAAACTTGATTTATCTTCTCTTTCAAAATGCCATCTCTTTCTCAGATCTACAGGGTTCAATTACTGCGTGTGGGGGGGGACTTGGTCAGAGATTTATATAGATTCTATGAACAAACCGAATTTCATGTTCAACACTAAAGAAATTTTCTGAATATTTTGATATTCTCATAGGAATTACGGACCGTCTTGCGACGTTAGCTCGTGGGTATCTATTTTTTTAATCTCATTTTGGTCGTTTCTTTTTTTTGATATCGATCTATCTGGGAAATCTTCAATCTTTGATGGCGGTGGGCGCGGACATATTTTAATATATGGTCCCTATCTTTTAAGAATAGATAGATCTCATAATGCGATGAATCTATAATATTTGAAAAATAGATATTATTTATTGGATTTCTGGGAGGTTTCTAGAAAAAGCATTGAGATAATCAATATTTTCTTAATCGATGTGCGGCGAATATTCGTATCTATATTTTTATACGGAAAAGATTCTCAAATCTATATATATAATCGACAATATTTGAAAAATTAATTTGAATAATATGAATATTGATTATCTATAGATTTTTTGTTCTATATTACGTTGGAGATGAATAGAATAGCGCTTCTGAAATACGAAAGATATATTAAATATTTAGAATGATATATAGAAAAAAATGAGAGCAAGATGATAGATTGATAGATCGAATGGCGATGAAAATTTATTCTGAATATTTCGTTGATAAAAAGATTCTTTATTAAATAGATAGATTATAGAATTGATTGATTTTTTTATTTTTTTTTTGATTTCATAGATAGGATGATAGGTTCTTGATCTGAATAATAGATAGAAAATATTTTATTAATAGAATTCGAGATTATTAATTTTGATATATAATATAATCATAGGAGAGCATATCAAAAGATTATACGAATAATTGATAAATTCGTAGGCCGATAGCCCATAAATATGATATTTCTTGGAATAATAATATCGGAAAAGAGATCTAAAATCGTCGAGGATTTAGGTCGATCAGTTTCATTAAGAAAATGAAAAATAGAATTCAATTCTATAATAAGGATTGAATCATATTTTATTTTATGAATCTGAAATCGATAATTTCTGAAATAATTTTCGAATATTTATCAATATTATGGCGCGGCTATTTGCCGCTATTTCGATCGCGCGCGGCCTAGCTTTTCCGGCTCATTTCTAAAATGCCTCCTGCGGTCTTCCTAGGGACTCTAAAAGCTCTGAGATTTTTGACGCGGGCGATAGGACCAAAAATTTCGGAGATTTTTGGTCGTGCGATTTTTCGCCTCGGAGCGGATTTCCAGGCGATTTATTTTTTAAAGATATTTGCGTGCATTTTCGGCGGAGAATATAGCTCCGATACGGAGAATCAAACATCTTTTAGAATTTATAGATTGACTATATCTATCTACGGAGAAAGATATCTTATTTTCTCTATCGACCTCTTTGATTATATAATCACGGGGAAATTTGGAATTCCCTTTTTTCTCCTACCTTGGTCTCGCATCGCCACTACTAAGAAGAATCATCTATTATATATATAAAAAGCGGAAAGATCAAAATAGATGCGGGGCTCGCACGACCCGAAATCTCTCATCAATTTTTAGAGCTGAGCTGGACCGTTGCTTGTAATAACGTTTAATATTTATTTAAGAATATATTTATGTGAGAAAATCTATAACGAGATTTTTGGCGACCAAATAATATAAGAGATCGTATATGAAATCCGATAAAATATGAATATTTTAAAATAGTACGCATGTTGCCCGAATTTTACTTCTCTCAAGCTATATTTTCGGGGCAAGAAAGGGGGGAGGGAGTAGAAATCTCTAAGATCATACGCGACGAATTAAAAAATAAAAATAGATAAATAATCTCTATCACGAGTCTATATTTTCCTCCGAACAGCGGCGCCGACAATCAAAAAGAAATAAATCACACGCAATATCTAAGCTCGCATATATATTTAACGATTAATCAATATATAAGAAGCGTACGTGACCAAAAATAGCCAACCTAATAAATTCTGAAAGATTTTAATTCTTCGACCATAATCTTCCCCGAGCCGACGCCCAAATAGCCGAAGAAAGAATCAGAATCCCAACGAAATTTTAGCCCATAAGCTTTCATAATATCATATCATCTCGAAGATAGAAATTTCAAGAGTCAATAATATCGAATCTTTTTCGATTTAGATCTCTAAATTCAAATATTCTATAGATAAATTCATCTATAATAATATGAACGATTTTTTTCTTTCTTGATCCAATTCTATCTAATATTTATTTTTTTTATAATATTTATCAAGATTCTTGATTCAAGAAATATTTTTATTGATATGATGATAATAATATTCTTTTCCCAATCCAATTAGATTCCAATCCAAGATTTTATAAGAAATCTATTATTGAATGAGAGATGACAATTACTCTTGAAAATATCATAGTTGTATTTTGCGGAGGGGAATCATTATAAATATTGAAATAATTCAAAATATGCCTAATATTCATGCCATATCTCGTTTCAGAAATATTATTGGGGCCCCTCGAAAAATTTCTGCGAATCCTTTCGTCGCCCTTTCGTGACGGTGTCGTGCACAGCATTTTCTGAATATATCCCTGAGCTTATAGAATTTCGGATATGGGTTTTTGGCACCCCCCCTTCATATCTAATGCAGAATGCACCTTTGCCGGCGGCTTTCAGAAAGTCATCGCCAGACGCTGTTTTAAAATTTGGTCAATGGGCTCTCTCTATGAGCCCGGCAAGAGATATGCGCCACTCTAGCCTAAACCAAGCTTGTATGCACATTTGTGTAAATACCCTGAACCGCAAACCCCCATTCCTAAGCCATACAATAGAGCGACGTTGTGTACAGAACCGGCTTGGAGCAGCACACATGGGGCGCATCGCGATGAACACCCGGCCACACTTCGTTGGCAGTTAATTTGCCTGCACTGTGCTACATTATGGTAGTTTGACGTATACTGTAAAACCGGAAGTGAATGCTAAACGGATAGTGTGTGCTTCAACTAACTTAACTGTTGCACAACATCTTGTGCGAGAACGTGTCTTGGCTGGTTTCGCCCTTGGGGCAGATGATGTCAGCAAAAGGCCAAAAGCTCTCGTGTCCTTCTGCTAATTAGGCAACTCCAGTGAGGCTAGCAAACTCCTCAAAATTCAGCCCGGGTCTGCCATCCCGCTCGAATTTCTGCATCATCCCTTCGAGCATGGCAGGCGTCATGAAAACCTGGGCGCTGCTTTGGGTACTGCCCCCACCCCTTAGGGGCTGTAAATAGCCAGAAAGCAAAGATTATCTAGCTGATGCCGATGCCTAAATGGCACATTAAAGAGCCTGCGCAGTAGCTTTGAATAGGTCCCTGCATAAAACAATACGGGAGATTCGTAAAGACCCTTCAACACAACCCCAAACCCCCAAGAGGAAATTCGTCGTCATGCCAAAATGCCACCCTATAAGATGTAAGTTCTTGCGTCGGTAAAGGGTGTATGTAAGGATTCTGGTCCATAATATTTAGACACTCTTCCCTAAACCCCCAAACCCTATTCCCTAAAACCGAAATGTTATACGACAGCACGGGCTTAGTTCTTTCTGAAGAAATCAAGCAGAGCGATTCCTGCATTACAAAACAAGGTGTAAGTGAGTTGAGCACCAGGCCCACTCAGTTACTTAAAGCCACTTTAGCGTCCCTGCTCCAAGCTGTTGTGGAACCTCTGCAAATGCACCCTGCCTTTCCAAGCCTGTCCAAAACTGGTCCTGGGAAAGGCACCGAGTTTGAAAGGCACTAAAACTCCAGAAACGATCTAGAGAGGTAAATGCTCAGAAACGGGTCTGGGACAGGTCCACAAACATTCAGCAGCGGTCTGCCAAAGGCGAAAAGCTGCAATTATCCCATCCCATTGGACAGTATACCCTGATATCAATAGGATGGGAAGCAGCAAGGAATTTCATGGCAACCTGCCCGACTTAGGTAACAGACAGCTGTAGTTTCAACATCCTTGTGGTTTTCAGGCGGGGGAATATGGGCGGCCAGTTGGCCCAAACCAAGGCTTACAATGTTGACCACCCGGAGGAGAAGGGCACGAGCGCATTGAGCAAGCGAGGGGAGCTGTGTTGGTAATGTACGCGTTTTTTTTCTCGAAATTCTTGTGTCGAAATCTCGAAGCTGTGTGGCAATTTTTTGCAAACTCCGATTACAAACGTGGCGACCCCTGCGCGGTGTGAGGCCCAGGACCGACCCGCCCTTGGAAAAAGCTGGATCCCAAGTCTGGGCTTTTTGCGTCTTTCTGGAAGCAATTTGCCAATTTTCCTGCTTCCTGCAATTGTGCGGATGTTTTTGAGACCAATTTTCGCAGAATGCGAGTACACACTGGGGTCGGCCCCCTAGGGAAAACGTTGAGCTCAACAATTGGCCAGACTCCAGCTACGCTATCGGACCCTAAACCCCAGAACCCACACCTCCCCTAAACCCTAAACCCTATAAACCCTGTAAACCCTATAAACCCTGTGAACCGTACAAACCCTATCAACCCTACAAACCCGCTGCAAACCCTATGAACCCTATAAACACCAAAAACCACATAAACCCTCTTAACCCTATCAACTCTAAAAACCCTATAAGCCCTATCAACCCTATAACCATACAACAAAGCCCCTAACAACCCTACAAACCCTACAATTCCTCTAAACCCTATAAAACCTAAAACCCCTAACAACCCCACAAACCCTAACAACCCTACAAACCCTATAAACCCCACAAAATCCACAAACCCAAAAAAACCCTAAAAAACCTAAAAAACCCAACAACCCTAACAACCCCACAAACCCTATAAACCCTACAAACCCTAAACACCTCAAACCGCGTGGCTCCGTTCATCATCAAGGCAAGGCCAAGCTCTGCTTTATCGATGGTACCGCTTCCATTGATATCCTAGGAGGTTTTGGGGTTTAGGGTTTAAGGTTTAGGGCGTAGGGTTTAGGGTTTAGGGCTTAGGGTTGAGGGTTCAGGATTTGGGATTTTAGGGTTTAGGCTTCGGGTTTCGGGGTTTAAGGTTTTGGGCTTAGGATTATCTAGAGGGGTATGTACAAATCGATTTCCTCTTATCTTTATGAGATTCTGAGTAGAGGTCTTCTCCATGGAAGCTCCATTTTCTACTGGATCCCATGCATGAGCTCTCTCAGTTCAATGGAGTCAGTTTAGCATCTGCCAATGCTGCTAATTTGAAATACTCTAGATTCATTGATGCGTAATATTTGACTTAACACTTAATTACCAGAGAAGGAGTACTCACATTATACGTAGAGGTCCATGGCACAGAGGGTTATAGGGGTTGCACAAGGTCATCTACGGGTCTTGCAACATTCTACATGGACAGGGTTGTATAGGATTATATTGGAATATGTAGAAAGGATAGGGGCCAGGGATATACATATGGGGGTTTCCCAACAATAGGGGTGCCTTTCTGGGGTCCCTGTCATTGGCAGGATAGCATTTGGTGGTCTATGAAGGGTTCCCCTGTTTGTGGCAAGTACCATCTAGGGTTCTATAGGGTCATTCAGGAATTATACAAGGACTATACAAAATTGTATATGGTCATCAGCGTGCGCTGAGATGCATGATTCATTCAAAGCCTTTTGTGCGCATGGCAATGTCTGACCCATACCCACTATCAGGCAAGGACCTTGCTGAATTGTTGCAGAACCACCTACGCCCTAAATCGCGTACAACTCGTCCAAGCCACAAACTTTGCAAACACCCGTCGCGCTTCGGAGACCGGGTTAAACTCGTCCTCTGGGTCGAAATCGTCTTCTCTCTCGTCTCGTGGAGGGGCCTCCTCGAACTCAGTGACCTCCTTACAGCCCACACCGTCACCATCAAGGGTTTAGGGGTTTAGGGTTAGGTTTTAGGGTGTAGCTTCCATTTTCTTTTCCATGACCTTATATTATGTGATATTACCCCTATATAAGCCCTATATTCATCACCATCATCGTGGCTAAGGGAGTTTTCCAGTACCAGGGACCCATACGACCCGTAAATGGAGTTGAGGGCTTTGGTTCGTGATGCTATGATTGCGGCTGCCAGTATTCTAGTGATTTTATAAGCGGGCATTCTTGGACATATGCCATGATGGTTTGCCATTCTTGCTCAAGGGTGGGGAGGATGTCCAACTACATCTTCCAACTCCCTGGGGTTCAGTGGGGAATAAGGGAATATATTATATAGGGCTTACATAGGAATTATTTTCCCTTATTCACTACAGACCACCAGTAAGCTAAAGGCATGTTCATGACACTATGTCATATACCATGGCAAGAGTCTTATTTACATTATGTCCCACACCATTGCGGGCGATAACAAAAGATGTCGGGCTGCAACAACAATATATAGCAATAACACAGCGGACTAACAAGGTAACACAAAATAGCAATCTACCGGACAAACTTGAAAATAATAGGCCAGGGGCGGCCAGGGTGCAACAAACTTTTGTTGTCATATGTCATGCTATTAACTGACAATTGTCGAGAGAGTCTAGTATAAAGATGGTTTGAACAACACATGACAGTGTCCTAGACACTGAAACCTCAAGACGAAGTGTTGCTGGACCTCAGCTCTCTAATTATTACTTGGAAGTTAGTCGTCCCCAATCCAAAGACAAACAAAGGACCCCAAGCACAGTCATTGCAATAAACCGCGATTGAAAGCCCTGAACTCTGACTTTTCAAATGCGAGGAACTACCGGGCTCGGCCCCTCTTGCTCGTATGCGAAGTCACCGCCATCGTCCCCATCCTTGCCGATAGTTTGTGGGGAATGGGGTTTAGGGTCAGGGAAAAGGTTTAGGGTTTAGGGTTTTCTGATAGCAGCCCCGGTTATACTACTATCCATTCTCTTTGCCATTCCGTCAACCCTGAACTGGACCTTCAGTCTTCTGTCGCGCTCTTGATGGCAGTTGACATTGTCTCTTTCACTCCTTCATCCCATACACCCTAAACCCCAAACCCTCAACCATGACATAGGGGCCTAAATAATTGCCAATATTATGGTTTCATATTCCTTATATATTTATGTAGGCCAGCCCTAAACCCTCAATTTTCCATAAATCGGCGCTTCCATTTCTTCATGGATTCGTTCCCTGCGACCTTACACGACCCTACGTAATGTTGTAGTTTCCACTTCCTGTTCCACCGCTGCAATGCCTGCGCAATGAACCCTAGCTTTCCCTCAATGGTACAGTGAATACTGAAAATCCTGGATGACCCTAAGTACCTGAAACCTTGGGAATTATGGTACTGTAGTATACTGAGGTCATGCAGGATTTCTAGTATCAACAGTCGTGTCACTGTAGCTTCCTTTCCTTTTGCGCTCCTTCGCTCCCTACTTTTTTCTGAGCCCCACCCTGCATCATAAATGAAGTTATCTTGGCCATGGTCTACACGTCCCAATGTCTCTTCGTCAGCATATTTCTTACTCTAATGGAATTCAATCCGTCCTAACCCCTCACATTTTCAAACACCCCCAGTAAAATACCTTTGCGTCTTATCTGGAATATTTGCTTTTGAAGGGGGGCGTGAAGCGGGGGGCTTATCAGGGGTAGCCCTAAACTCTAAACCCTAAGCAGGGTTAACAACCATTAAGCATCTGGTGTAAAGTCGGTGTCCGTCAAGCCTGTGATGGTGTACCTGAGGTTAGCTAGGGCCACCTTTAGGGCTTAAGTTTTAGGGTTTAGGTCTTAAGTTTTAGGGTTTAGGGCTTAAGTTTTAGGGACGTTGGGGTTTAGGGGTTAGCGGGTTATGGGTTGTCATCTCAACACTTTGATCTTTTATTCAGAAAAGGTACCCTAGGGACACTAGAATAGAAAATGCATAGGGCTCATAAGAGGATTTCGGTGGTCTCTATCTTTGAGAAACGCACACTTCACGGCACGTCTACAATCCACAGTTAAAAATCCTGCATGATTCTGACATGCTATGTGCGGTCACGCAAGGCGCTCGAAACAACAATACAAGCCGCTGGACATAATCAGCAAACCAACAACTGTACTGAAGATTCGCAAGGAACTGGCCCAGGAAATTGAAGTCAGGGTTTGCGACGTAGTCATACGGCACATATGCGTATCCTCGGTCCCCCCAGCTCTCGCCCCAGCTGTTTCTCACGATGAAGACCTGCTGCCGGTCATTGTAGCCCACAAGAAGCATGGCCTGACTGGCTTCGAGCGAGAAATGGAAGAGCGGATTCCTTTAGCAGACCATGGGTGATGGGTTACGTTACATTATATCCTACCTCTGTACTAACTAACCCTACCCCTAGGTTCCCCAGCTGAACTAAGGTTATTCAGGGATAATCAGGCCAAATTAAGGTTCATCAAGAGGGAACCTAGGGGCGGTCTTATACATACGGGGTAGTAGGGGAACCAACGATATATGGCTTCTAGTAATATATAAGCTTCCGTGTCCTTTCTATTCCGTTCCCTAAATTTTAAGATTCCATAATTGGTAGTTCTAGCTTCCTTTTCAATTCCTTCAAACCCCCTGCCAACAGCCAGCAAGATACACCTAAAACCAAATCTTAAACCCTAAACCCTAAGCCCTACACTATCCCCATCCACCGACAGTTTCCACTTCATTGCCCTTTCGTTGCTTTTCGAGCTGAAAAACACTCCTCCGAATCAGACAGTCGCCCCGATTTCGCCGAGGCTGGAACCCTCTAAAAACCACCTCTACTTCCCCTTGCAGACCACCCCCGCCCACTCGCCACCTCCCTTCCCATTTTACTTTAAATTTCAGCTCATGTACTTGATATTGGTTTCAGCTGAAGGCCCCCCTCCTCCCCCTTCAAAACTTGCGAACTCCCTCACTAAAGGCTGATGAACTAAGCCCAGCCAGCCCAACAAACACGTCTGAAGTGAGGCTTGCCTCTGTTACTCCCTCGAACCTAAACCCCGCGTGTCAACTACATGCCATGACCTATTCATGTGCTCCGCGCCCCGCCAGCTGAGGCGGGCGCGCGATAGAGTTTATAATTAAGTAGATAGACTTTGGGTATGTTATAGCAAGATTCCCAGATACCCCACACTCTTGCTACTTAAGGGTGACTATACCCTAAACCCTGAATAGTAGTTTCCATTTTCTTTTCCATTATCCCAATATAACCCAATATAATCCTAATACTCTATCTACTTAAGGGTGACTATCTCCTAAATTCCGTGCAGCAAGTGGCATGCAAGCCATGTTCAGCCGACTGCGGGTCGCTGACGTCGGGAGTCGGGATGAATCCACCTCAGCAGGGACCGAAAGCCATAATTTTCTGGTCAGGCTTCACCTGGACCGAAAAGTAGGTCGAATAGTGGCCTTTTCATCTAGTTTCTGGGCTTAGTTTCTGGGCTGTGGGCCATTATTTTACCTACTTTTAGTTAGGACACCCCTCGCCTATTTAGGCTATTGGCACCACCCACACCCCAAAGTCAGAATACAATCTTAGGAAACATATGTTTCAATACCCGTGTCTACCTAGGTGCCATAGCCCAAAATAGGCGAGGGGTTCCTTGTAGAATTTGGTTCAGTGTTTAGGGTTAAGCGTGATTGCAGCGTGGAAACACATTCTCGGACGTGTTGCCTTTTGCTCGTGGGTGTCTCTGCGCATCTTGTGGTGAAACATTTAAGATGTGCAAACTGCTTCGTAGCAGTGATTCTCATCAAACTGATTTATACCATTCCTCAAATGCATCGCACTCAATATACATCGTCAAACCCTAAATCCTAACCCTAAACCCTGAACCCTAACTCAGAGGCAGGGGGTAACAATGCGTTGATCCCTTCTCACCTGGCTGAGGTCTGAAGTCCAAGTCCTAAACCCTAAACCCCAAATCCTAAACGCTAAACCCTAAATCCTAAACCCCAAATCCTAAACCTTAAATCCTAAACCCCAACTCCTAAACCCTAAACCCTTCTCACCTCGTTGAGGACTGAAGAACTGTTTGGTGAGCTTCAGGCCGAAGATGATTGGGTTTCCTTGCGCCAGCGCTCCGCGCATTGCATCGAGGTCAGTCGGAATTGTTGTGGCATTTGAAACCTTGAACTTCATGGCCTGGTGGAAGGATTTAGGGTTTAGGGCTTAGGGTTTAGAGTTGAAACCTTAAACTTCATGGCCTGGTGGAAGGATTTAGGGTTTAGGGTTGAAACCTTGAACTTCATGGCCTTTGTGGAAGGATTGAGGGTTTAGGGTTGAAACCTTGAATTTGATGGCCTTTCTGGAAGGATTTAGGGTTTGAGAGGTTGACAGTTGACTTTCCCAAGTTGAACAAAGCCGTGGTCTAAACTCCTAGTATCCCCCCCAATAAGCCCTATAATACTCCCCTATAAAATCCCCTATAACCACCCCTTTAAGGAGTTCAGACTATGACTCAAACAAATGGCCTGGTCGAAGCATGACGGATCGGGCTTGTCATTCACTTTCGTCAAATCGAAGGGCCAGTCTTTTGCCTTTAGTGTTTAGGGCTTTGGGGACAGATGCCTATTGGATGAACTAGTACCCAGAACAACCCCTAGAAAAGTCCGGGCAACCCTCCCGACTGTAATTTTAACTGGTCGCCAAACCTGAAACTCAAGCTGGGCTGCAAAAACCCTAGTTCAAACTTTTTCTCCCTGCACTTCAAGTGCACGTTGCCATCTGTATCGTTGTACACTAATTAATATGCAAGTGGACAACTGCACTACGGAGTAATACGTGAAAAGCACAACGCTGTATTTACCCTTGCGACCATCCTTGCTGTAGTTTTACTTCGACACGTTGCCTCAAACGGGCCGAATCAGCCTCATGTGAATAGCACTTAAGACTTAAGCATGAACCAACATATGAGCATTATGGTTTTCTTCCTCATCGTGAATTGGGAATCGGGGACCAGAAGCCAAGTGCTTGAATTCCAGGCTCAGCCTGACTAAATTCCTGTATGAGGACTTCCGAGACTGGGAGACTCAATGTGGGAGCTCTTAGAAGACGGGTTGTATCTGCATGGAAACTTCCGTATGGCCAAAATTACTGCTCCCAAAATGGGCTGACATGTTCATAGGGGCCCGTATGACAATCGTAACACCACCACAGAACCCGTATTGGAATGAGTCGAGTGACATCCCCAACTGAGCTATAATCTTGACTCCTAGTATTCCCCTTAATAAGACCTATAGTAGTCCCCTATATAACCCCCTTTAGGAAGTTTAGACCCTAAAATCTAAAACCCAAACCCTATGTCACCCCCTTTTTGGAGTTTAGACTATGGCTCATAGTGTGGACACCACAAAATCCTGCATGATCCTGAGTACCTGTGGCAATAATGGCACTAGACTATACCAAGGTCATGCAGGATTTGATTTAGATAGGGACTGTCTGACAATGGTATGAGCTACATTGTGTACTCCGAGTATCCCCCTTAATAAGCAGGCCTATAATACTCCCCTATATAAACCCCCTTTAACCCTAAACCCTAACCCCTAAAACCCTAAAACCCTAAAACCCCAAACCCTAAAACCCTAAACTCTAAACCCCTAAACCCTAAAGCCCTAAACCCTCGTATGGGAGGTTCTTCTGCATCCGCAGTTGCTAGGCATGCTCCCTTCATCTCTAGGGCGCTGATGGCGCCTCCGATAGTCATCCCCTCGTCTGATGGGGCCATCCTAGGTCATGAGAAGGGTTTAGGGGCTTAGGGGCTAGGGTTTAAGGGTTTAGGGGTTTAAGGTTTAGGGTTTAGGGCTTTTGGGTTTTGGGGTTTAGGGGTTTAGGTTACATGAATTTTTGAAACATATCCTATCCCAAAGTAGGATATGATCTCACACTAGACTTGGGGACCACTGTATGCCCCACAAACGCAAATTGCTCAGGGTTGGGATGGCCTAATAGTTTCCAGGTGTTCGGGTTTAGGCAATTGGGAAATGGAAAAAGAACATGAAAACTACCGTGTCACGCATGGGGCATGGATTCCTACAGCAGTCCCAAAATACTTTCCAGATATTTCTATTTTCCATTCCTGCGTTCCCTGCTAACAGCTGAGAATCCTTGCGTTTTCCCCAAATTGGTGCTGGTCCTTCTTGCGGCCCACGTAGTAAATGAACAGACGAGAGATGTCAGCGGTTGAATCACCACGTCTCATTGCATCACGCTTGTTGAGATACTCGTAGGCACCAGCGATTGCATTCGCACAGCAACTGTTGCTTTGCGATTGGTCCTCAATAGCCGTCATGTACGGACGCAAATCCACTTTATCTCTGGATGCGCCCCCCGCCGAGCTGTAGGAAGAGCATTTGACGGGTTGCGACCTTCTGGGTTGCTGTTGAGACGCTAAATCAAGTGTTACCATAACATGGGTACTATACTGTATGTATAAAGTAATAAGACTCTCCCATGCTGGCAACTTAGCTTGAGCACCTCAGCAGCAACCCAACCTTTCCCCGACCATAACCCTCAATTCCTAAACCCTAGACCCCCGAAAATCCCAAACTCTAAGCCCTTAACCTTAAACCTTGTACCCTAAGCCTTAAATCCTGAACCCTGAACCCTAAACCCAAACCCTAAACCCCAGCCTTTCCCCGACCATGCCGAACGGGGAGAAGGTCTTGCCATCCGCCTCGACTTTCTTGCTGCCCAAGCGCTTGGCTACGCGGAAATCTGAGCCGCCCGCATCGACATACCCGCATACCTTAGTCAATGGTCCCCTAGGAGAATACTTGGAGGGTCAGGGGCACTTAGTAAATAGGTTGATAACGAGGATAACTAGGGTTACTATTTGGATTACAGGGGTTATTTGCCTACATACTAAGTCCCACTGACCCCTCAAATAGTCAATGGTCCCCTAGGAGAATAGGGGGAAGATATGGCTATTTCAGTTTCACTTCGTGCAGACCTTGTAGGACTGCAGAATAAAGGCTCGTTCTGGTCCGTTTCAGCTCACCCCCAGAGAGGCTAGGAAAAATACGGGGTCCTTCTGACAGTTGTAGAAGGAAGCCCATGCCTCCCTCCTCCCCAACCAAAAAAAGATCCACTAATGAGGACCCCGATACGTTGCCCATGCTCCTTCCCAGACACAGAGCTGCCTACCTCTGACTGGCCAAGTTCAGCTGGGTGTTTGCGGCAAAGGCTTGAGCATAGAAGGGTGTCGTGACATAGGCGGGCAATACTGGATTGCGGCTCAGGAACTTGAGCTATGGTGCCATCATTTGGAAATGTAGTATGTAGGGTTTAGGGTCTAGATTACCTCTTATCCTCATCCTGATTCTGATTTAACTGCATTTACATTCCTTAGCATCACAGGGTCCAATACCGCCCCCCCCGCCTGAACGCTGCCCGCCTCAAAAATGAGGCCCAAAGAAACCTCAGGTAAAGCTGAACCACCCCTTATCTTACTGGTGGTCAGTAGGGAATCAGGAAATACAATCCCTGCAATCCCCTAAGCCCCCCAAAAAACCTAAACCTAAATCCTAAACTCTAAGCCCCCAATCTAAACCCTAAACCCTAAGCCTAAAGCCTAGGACCCTAACCCTAAGCCTACACCCCTTCCTCCAAGCCTAAACCCCATAGAAATCCTTTGAAGGGGAGGCCTAGCCTCTCTTTGCGGCGCCTTGTCTCAAAGATGAATGGCAGCCCGGCCAGAACCCTAAGCCCCTAAGCCGCGAAGTATGATGGGTATAAATGTTATTGTTACTATTAGTATGGTTGTTGTTGTTGTTGCTACTACTACTACTACTACTACTAGGCATACTTTATGTATTTGACGACTCTCTTTTGTGTGCTTCTCTGTCTGAGTATGACTGCCGCCGTGCACATTTTCACTGGTATTTACAGCATTTCGTCTTTACAGAATTTGTTGTTTACTTTTTTTTCCTCTTCCAGTTGCCAGTCGGGATTTTTCTGTTTTTTTTGCTTTCTTGCGGTCGAAGCAGCCTAAAGTACTGTTATTTGCAGTACATTTGGCCGTTGGTACGTTTTTTTAAAGTCTGCTTTTCCTTGATTTTTTAAGAGCCCTGTTTTTGTGCTTTTGGACGAATTCACTGGTATTTGCAAGGTTTCGTAGCATTTTCCAGCTTTAGCTATTTTGGCCAAAAACGCGTTTTTGGATTTTTAGTGAATTTCTTCGTTTTTGTAAGAGCTCTGTTTTTGTGCCCTTG